ACAAACATAAAAAAAGAAGGAGAGATAAGGTCGATAGATGTTTGATAGGAAAGAAGAAGCAAACCACACCAAATCACCCGCCAACCACCCACATCTAGATCTAGCTTAGACGGGTCACAGGAGAGAACAATGAAGACCCAATGACGAAGAATGAAAGCGAATTTAATTAACCCTACCCGTACGTCCTGGTGTCATTTTGTACCCCCGGGGTTGTATTCTTTACATTTTTAGAATACTTTTAGTACGAAGATCTCGTTGAAACTTTCAGTATTTCTCAAAAAATCATTTTGACAGACTGCTACGCAAAGCGTAGCCTACGGATTGGATTAACGAGTAAATTTCCTCTTTGGAAAGAAGTGGCACAGAGTTCCCCTCATCGTATGGATACGATAGTAAAACACGACGTACGGATAGGGTTAAGTGGTGGCACAGAATTCCCCCACGTCGTATGGATACGATAGTAAAACGCAATGTACGGATAGGGTTAAGATAAGAACAGCCCTCTATTAAACCCCCCCCCCAAACAAGTAAGGAAATAAAAGCTTATAAAAAACAAGTAAAGAAATAAAAGCTAATAAAAAACAACAAGTAAAACGATCATGAAAGGTCTCGGTGCTGTTTTGTGCTGTCTCGAATGCGCACTATGAAGACTCAAGAACGAGCTAAAGCTAAAGCTAAAATTAAAAGGATGACACGAAGGATTCCATCACAAAACACAGTATGTGCAAAATCTGAGTATTTACGAAAAACCCCGCCCTCTCACTCCACACACAATCATGAAAAAAATTGTCGTGAGTTGTTTAATATAATACGAGTATTTATTTATTTCTCTTAAAATGTACTGTGTCCCTCGATATTCAGTATGGTAAAATTGCGTTTTATTTCAAGCACATGAAACAAAATGCCAAACCATTGTAACAATCATGATAATTACTTTATTATTCCCGTATCACCGTCCTGGCTGGCTCTGTGCGTGATTACTGCCTCGTCACGCGCGTTATGACCGTTCTATTCCCACTGACTTGACTCAGCAAACTGCATGTTTTCTCACACCTTGATGTACCGTGCTGACTATGCAATGTACGAGTGTCTCTGCCCTCTATCTCAGATCTTGATGATGCGCAAGGTATTAGTGCTCTTGCCCTTTGTCCTAGACAAATGTGTGTGTGTGTGTGTGTGGGGGG